TTTGTATATTTTGTTTATATATTCTTTTATTTTAATTATAAAGTGTTATCATTTTATATACACATAATAATATTTCAACATACTAATTATTTTTCTTCTTTTTTGAATACATAATTTGGTAAATTTATATTTTCAAAAAAATAAATGAATAAATATCAAATAAAGTAATTTTAATATACAAGATGAATTTACAAGTGCGAAAAATTAAAAATATATAATATCAATATAAATATATATATATATATATATATATATATATATATGTGTGTGTCTGTTTACCTATATGTCTTTGATTTAATAAAATAGATGTCGAGTACACATAAATAATGTCGTTTTATTATGAATATTATTATACTGAAAATTTTTGATAACTTTTTATTATATATATAAAATTAGAATTTTTAAGAATCATAATATATCATATTATATATTAATAAACCAAATTAGAGCAAGAATATTAAAACAAAAAATAAAATATAATAAAATCAAATAAGACCATATCAAAATAAATTCAAATAAGAATCTAGAAATTTAAATTATAATAAGTAAATATTCAATTAAGATTATAATATTACATTAATATTACTTAAAATTATTCTATAACAAATATATATTTTATAATAATAATAAAATATAAAAATTAGAGAATATGAATTTATGAGAAAAAAAAAGTTTTTATAAAAAATAATTTTCTTTTTTACCATAATTTTTGTGCAAATTCATAATTTTATATTCTTATAATATATACTCATCGCATTTTATTTTCTTTATAACCATTTAAATCACAAACATATATATTTTAATTATTTTATTTTTTTTATAACAACACTTTTTAATTATAAATGTACTCTATAAAAAAAAAAAAAATAAAATAAAATACAAATTTCACTGTTATTTTAATATTTTTTTAAATCAGTAAAATAAATATTATGAACACAACATATTTTTAAATACATATATAAATATATGTTACATTTTTTAAGGAAAATCTTATTTGTTCATAATAATAATAAATAACGTATATAGTTCTATAATATAAAAGATAAAATATATAATATTCTTTTTGTTATTCTATTTTTTATTGTATTTTATTTTTATTATTTTTTTTTTTTTTTAAAGGGCATGGTATAATATTATTTATCTCATTTTTATATATAAAGAAGAAAATGGAAAATCGTTATATATATATATCCATAATAATTTCTCAAAATTACATTTGTAAATAAAAATATAGAAATTATATATATATTTTCGATACAGAAATTAGTGTATATAGAGGAGCAATATATATTAAAAAAAAAAAAAAAAAAAAGGGAACATAAGAAAAATATATACAATATATATTATTAATCATTACAAACATTTTTCTTTTTTTTTTATATATTGAATATAGAATAATTTCTTTCATAATATTATTTATTGTTATTTCATAAATAATTTAAATATAAAATATAATAAAAAATGTTTTATTATATATAATTCTGTTTTTCATAAGTTATTTATAATATATATATAGCATATCATTCTTCTTTTTTTTTTTTTTTTTTTTTTTTTATTATAAGAAATAACTATATTAGAAACTACAATTTTTTTCTCAAAAACGCTCAAGTTGAAAAATAAACAAAATTATTATAATATTTTTAAATATAAAATAAATAATAAAATAATAAATATGAGTATTCTTAATTAAAAATGTTATTTTTATGCAAACTATACAAATTCAAAAATACGTACCAAAAAATTATGTTGTTTTTTTTTTCTTTTAAATAATAAAAAAAAAACATATATATTATATGCATTTAGAATAGAATATATATATCCTTATTATATTATTCTATCCACATTTTTTTTTTTTTGTACTAATATTTTTAAATTCAAAATAATGTAATTTAGAAAAATATAATTGTACTTTTTTTAATTATTTATATGTAAATGTAGGATAAAAAAAAAAAAAAAAAAAAAAAATTTCAAAACTTCATATTATATATAAAAACAAAATCAAAAATATAATATTATATATATTTATTTATAGAACCAGTTATATTATAATAATTTATATATATTAAAAAAAAACACATTAAATATTAATAATATTATTTTTAAAAAAATGTAATCTCAATAATTGTTTATATATTTTTTTCTTAAAATAAATGAAAATATTGTTTTACATAAAAATCCAAAGAAAAAATAAATATAACATATAAATATATAATGTATATATATACATAAATACACCTCATATTTTATAAAACGAATATGTATTATCATCAATTTCACATATTTCATACGCATGCGTATTTTTGTTAACAAAAATATCCTTTTCTTATAAAAAGGTAAATAAATATTATATATATATTTGATTGATTTGTTTTTTTAATAGACAATTTTTTTTTTTTTTTTTTTTTCATATAAATATATTTATTTAAATATAGATTTATAAAATATATTATGTAAATAATAATTTAAAATTATGTTTATAATAAATTTACACAAAATAATTCATATATTCATATGTGTTTATATATATATGTTTTTTTTATAAATGTTTTTTTAATTATATATATTTTTTTTTTTTATATAGGAACATTACAAATAAAAAAGTTATTAATATAATATAATATATATATATATAGGCTGAACCAAACATATTTTGCCTTTCTTCTTATTTTTTTTTTTTCTTTCAAAAAAAAAAAAAAAAAAATTTAATATATATAAATTCTACTTTAACAATATAATTAAAAATACATAATTAATTTGAAAGAATATATTACTATATATAATAAAGTAAAAATGAAGCACCATATAAACTTTAAAAAGTTTATTATATACACAATTACGCTTGTGTATTTCATACTATTATTGGTAAGATAAATTATGTAAATAAAATATAAATATATATATATATATATATATATATATACATATTTATTTACTTATCTATTATTTATTTTTTTTAGAAAACTTGTAAGATACAATATAATGCTATACCAAATACAGAATTACTTCATAGAAATTCAAGAACTTTGGCATCTGCAATGCACCATTCATTGAGAGGTGATTATGTAACACAAAAATGTTCATGTTGTCGAACGGAAAAAGCAAGAAAACAAAAAATACTAAATCTTATAGAAAATGAAAATAACGCGGAAGATTATTTTAATAATTTAAATTTTGATCTACAATATACAGAAGAATTAAATGCACAAATTACAACCTTAGATCCAAAAACCTCAGTACAAGAACTAACCAATATATTTTTTGATTTAAACGAAAATCGTAGAAAAAAATTTCATTATCTGATAGAAGCTTTAGAAAATGTATCTTTAATATTGGCACATCAAAATGATATACCAGAAAAACAACGAATGGCAACATGGTGTAAAATTAAACATGATCTTCAATGTGATTTAATAAAAGAACATCCAAATATAGATTCTAATTTCCATGCATTTATTAGCAAAATCCAATCCATTGACGAATTTATATCTTATTTAAAAGAATGCATACACTCATGGAATAAATTTACCAATGAAAAGAAAAAACAGTACTTTCCAATAGTATATGAAACTTACCAATCAGTTCAAATATGCAAAGAAAATAACTACAAGAAGTTAAATAACAAAAAAGAAAGCGTCCCCAAGGAAAGTATGAAAACGGAAGGCACACCAAATAAAAATGATAAAAATGTAAATAGTACTCAAATAAATAACCAAAATAAAACTAACCAAAAATTGGGTAATAAAAAAGAAAAAAAAAGATTACCAAAAAAATAAAATTTATCCAAAAATATTAATAAAAGAAAATAGTTGTATTAATATAAAAAAATATTGTCTTAATAACAAGAAATATAAATATATATATATATATATATATATATATATTTCTCATAACTACAAAAATTACATTATCAAAAGACAACAAAAAAAATGATATGAAATACTTTTAGTATATAAATTACACTTTAATATACATACATACCGATATATGTGATAATATTATATATTTTAATTTTATCATTTTTTTTTTTCCAAAAATAAAAATATAAAATTTTCAAAATCATTTTGATTTATTGTTTTTATAAATATATAAATATTCAAATATACTTTTTTATAACATATAAAACAAATATTTCAACAGTAACAGATAAACACAAAATAAATTATGAAACATATATGCAATTTTATTCTTCTAAACACATAAA